ATATAATCCCCTAATATTCAATTATTTCGTTGTTTAAACAACGATTAAAATAAGTTTGGGAGTACTCAATCCAACTACGGCAATTTTCTTTAGTTATCTGTTTAAATGCATTACTGATTCGGCTTAAAATAGTCTCATTATTTTCAAGATGATGTCATGCAACTAAATTTTTAACCTTTGAAAAGACCTTTTCGATGGGGTTTAGAAAGGGGGAGTATGCAGGTAAAAATAAAAGCTCATGCGGCGTGGTTGCAATAAAATTTTTAACTTGTTTTGCTTGATGAATTTTTGTATTATCGACTATAAAAATTTTTCTGCGGTTTGGAGGAAGTAATTAACAAGCTCATATAAAAATTTTGTAAAAATAAATCCAGTTGTTGAACCCAGCCGCAGTGTAACTTTAACAATGCCATTCCCGTCTATAGCTGCAATAATAGTGATATTTTTTCCATGTTGCTTAGGAACTTCCTTAATAGCACGTTGTTCACGAGGTGCACGTTCTCGTGAATGTAATAAATGAAGATTAAAACCAGACTCATCAATATAAATAATATCATGATACAGATTAATTCTTTGCTGAGAAATATTTTGAACATATTCTTTTCTTTTAACAATTATATTAGAAACATTTTATCTTTCATTAACAAGTACTAACTTTTTTAGTGTAAACCCTACTTTGTTTTTTATATTTCAGCCTACAGTTGATCTACTCACCTATAAAAAATCATTCAAGTTAGTAAACCTGCTATATTGATCATATTCGCATAAGCAACTTTGATTTTTATAACAGTTTAAAGATATACTTGTAAATCAGAAAATCGTTCAAGAAGATTTTGATGCAATTCATTAATCATGATACTTGGATTTATTTCCATTTGTGTTTTTAAAAAAATTCTATGCTCAGAATTTAGTTTGGATCTTCTGTCACCACCACGTGGTTTAAGAACAATTTGATCCTCTTCATCAAAGCGATTTACAATACTTTTAACCATGGAAGATGCAAGGCGAAGGCATTGAGAAACTTGAGTGATAGATAAATATTTGTTATTAACCATATCAACTACTCGCTTTCTCATAGCAAATGTAGTCGATAAGGATATCTTTGATTTCTCATAGTTCAAATTTAATATTAGTTGAGTAAAAGAAAAAAACCCACTTTATTTAAACATCGTTTAAATTAAATTACTTAAATTACTTAAATTATTTAAATTACTTAAATTACTTAAATTACTTAAATTACAAATTACTTAAATTTGAGTATTATAATTAATTCTTTCTAAATATGCCCACATATATAACCTTTCTAAATACACACTAATTTCACAATAACAATGTAAGAGTGTTAAAATATATATTTAATTTAAAATTGACTCCTTTACGAATATCCAGATTTTATAAAAAAAAAAACTCTATAATTATAGATAAATCTGAATTTTTTCAAATTATTTTTATTTAATTTTATCTTATACATGAGTATAATGAATATTTAATGTCTGATTTTTAAATAATTATTCAATTTAAATATAATACAGTAATATATATAGCGATAGTACTTGAACATAAGAAATATTTAATAGTCCAATTATTTAAAGCTATTTAAGTTTTGAATTCTTACCTTTATATTTACATTAATTAGTTGACCCTAAATGATATGTGCATATATAAGAAATGATTACCGGTAATTGTATCTCTGCCACAAAGCATAAAGTTTGCAAGTTTTTTTTTACATTTATTAATACAAATTATATTATACAAACTCAAACTCACTATTAATCATTCACTATCTTTACAAATTATGTTAATTATGATACAACTAATTTTTAACTATGAAGAGAGACTTTTAAATTTAACTGCTAAATAAGTTCTAGACCACAAGCATAAAAGGCACTTGAGAGTGTGAGAATATAAGTCTTAAATTTAGTAGTTTCAATTGGATGTATTATTTATAGTTTTGTATAATAAGATATTATGCAGGTATTTATATTATGTGTCACAGGCTAGATCAATTCTTTGGCGAAATGTGGTTCTTGAAGTATATAGTGAGGGGAGTGACAATAACAGCAGAGTTTGAATAAAGGTAAATATAAAAAAAAAAAAAAGAAAGAGGAAGAGAGAAAAGGGGTTTCGACGAATTTGTAAACATGTGTGCCACCAATCAGGTCACAAGTACTTGATTATTCGGGGCAATTATGCAAGTCGGTTAAATCTATTAAGAATCAGTTAAAGCACATAAGATATTTGTAATTAAGAATAAGAGTCAAATCTTATATGACCGAATCTTTATGTAATTAAGATGTAAGTTTAATATCAGAGAGTAAATATTGATATAATTAATTTGAGCCAAAATATGCATATAAGAGGAATGAAAAATAAAAAAAAAGAAGAGAGTTCTTCTCTTTTGCTCAAGAAAAAATAAAATAAATACAAGTACCCGATTATTTGTTTACACATAAGCTACATAACTCTATTTCTTGAAAAACGTACAAACGTCATATTGGGAAAAAGATCGGAAAATTGTAGCAGTTCCAATTAATTTAAATAAAGGACCATTGGGGACCGTGACAATATAGTATTTTCTTTAGCCATAATTGATGCTCTGATCAGCTCTAGATAATTAAATGCTCGAGATCTAGTCAGTATCTCACATGTTCAAGAAATTGTTTAGACTTAGTATTTCTTAAGTATCAAATTACTCTTTACCTTCATTATCGTACATTCGGGGAGTTTTTTTTTCCATGACTTACCTCTTTTCTTTACTTGAATTCCGCCTTTATTATTACTCCTCTTACCACATTTCACCAGGAATTGATCCTGCCTGTGACACATAATCCAGTTTTATTATTTTTTAAATTGATTTAGTATATTAGCTAATTCTCTAGCAGTTTGTCAGTTTTGAGGTTCTGTGTCTATGCATATTCGTCAGATCAAAAATAATTGAGAACTTCACATCTAATTTTAGTCTGTAACCTAGACTTGTTGTGTGAAATATAACGATATGTAGAATATCTAATAAAAACCCAAACATAGTTATTCTGAAAAAGCAAATAATTAATTTAATTATAATACAAACCAACTCAACCTTAACTGCTTCACATTACTATAGAAATGAAGTTGGTTACGGAAATTGGTTAGAACACGAAATTGGTTAAAATGCGAAATGGGTTGGTCACGAAATTGGTTGGTCACGAAATTGGTTGAGACACAAAATTGGTTGGGACACGAAATTGGTTGAGATACAAAATTGGTTGGACACGAAATTTGTTGGACACGAAATTGGTTGGGACACGAAATTGGTTGGACATGAAATTGGTTAGGACATGAAATTGGTTGGGATTCGAAATTGGTTAGACATGAAATTGGTTGGTCACGAAATTGGTTGGTCATGAAATTGGTTAGTCACGAAATTGGTTGGGATACAAAATTGGTTGAGACACGAAATTGGTTGGTACGAAATTGGTTGGAACATGAAATTGGTTGGGACACGAAATTGGTTGAAATACGAAATTGGTTGGACATGAAATTGGTTGGATACGAAATTGGTTGGGACATGAAATTGGTTGGACACGAAATTGGTTAGGACATAAAATTGGTTGGGATTTGAAATTGGTTGGACACAAAATTGGTTAGTCATGAAATTGGTTGGGATATGTATGAAATTGTTTGAGACATGAAATTGATTAGAATATATACGAAATTGGTTGAGATATGAAATTGATCGAAACATGAATTTGGTTGAGATATGAATTTGATTGGGACATGAATTTGGTTGAGATACGAATTTGGTTAAGACATGAATTTAATTGCATGCTATATGAATTAGATTGCATATTATACAAATTTGACTGTATATTTTGCGAATTTAGTAGAAAAAAGGTATATTATTAAATATAAAGCTAAATTATTTAATTTAAAATTAATAAATTATCAAATATAGTAATTTTATTCTTAATATAGTAATTTAATAAATATTTCTCAAAAAATTATAAAATTTTCAGAATATATGTAATTTGTTATGCTAAATAACTTTATTAAAAAAATTGCTAGTTTACTTGATAAAAAATTAAAGTTATATATATTACTATATTTAGTAATTTTAATTAGGGTTTTATAATTTATTGCAGGGTGCAATGTATTGCAACCTCTATAGTTAGTGTTAGGGTTAGTGTTAGGGTTAGGGTTAGTGTTAGAGTTAGGGTTAGAGTTTAGATTAGGGTTAGGTAAAATTGTGAGAAGAGCATTTTTATTTAGTTATACGACAGGAGTTACTCTAGTAAAATTTTGAGATATAGCGAGGTTTGGCGACTTAGTATAGTGGTCTAGTTGTCACCCTCTCCAAGTGGCAGGTCTAGAGTTCAAATCCTACGGACGACGAATTTTGAAAAATAGCCTGTGTTATGGTTTACGGTTGTCGATTATCGGTTGGATCTAGAAATCTGTA